AAATTACGAATAAATGAATGAGAGAGCGACAGGCAGGGAACACATTAAAATAATACTACGCATATCTTCTGGGTGGGGTGTGTACACCAACCCGAACAGCAGGAGGGTCAGTCAGGGTCACTCGCTTTTGATCTGATTGCCATTTACCAACAATCCATTTCGATTTTAGTAACAATCGGGGAAAATGTAAAGAGAACAAGTTTCTGACAGTTTCCATACAGTTACAGATTAGCATATTCAGAGTATTTACTGGCAGAGAGTATGATAGCGAGAGAGCGCCAGAAAATAGTACAGAATCTGAAATTGAAAAAAAAATGCAACTGATGGAACGCACAGTTTTGCTTTGGAGTGTGTACAAAATTGAAAACGAAGACGACACTATGACTAATAGGGGCGATACTTTTTTTTAAAGAAAAAAGAAGAAGCCAATTCTGAAATTAGGTTTCTGAATTTTCAAATACGACTAAACGGGTAAAGGGAGTAGAAGGGGTGACTGAAATGCAGATGGATGGGTGTGGGGAAAACGGCAGGATGGAGGATGGTCCCAGGAGAGCGATAGAAAAATAATTCCGAAACCCAAATCCATATGTGGCCCCACCGTGGCCGCTTCAATGGTAAGAGTGAGATGGAATGAGTGTGGTTTGAACCAATTTCCTATACACATATGTGCGCTTCACTATAATTGGCGTACCTCGACGATGCGTCGGGTGGTGGTGGCGCTTCGGCGGCGTCATCGAGGCACGGCACATTGGAATTTATATCGCTTTGGGAGTGGTGGTTGGGACCCCGGTGAGAGTGTGTTTGTGTGTGGGGTTGGCCATAAAACGAAATGAGGTTCTCACTCCAGAAGGCTCCGCCGGACGACTAGATTACAGTTGTTTTTCATAAAATGAGGGTGTATTTAGAAGAAGTATGGCGGGGTGGAAATGTAAGAGTTCGGAGCAATGGGTGGAGGAGTCAATTATAGGAAAATCCAATTTCGGAAATGGATGAATTCGAAAAAAAAATAGTCCAGTCATACACAATGGATCTTGAAGTGGAAGGCTAGAATAATAATTGTTTCAACTACCGTTAAAAAACCTGGATTAGAAAGGTCGTTCTAATAGAAGCGACCTCCGAGGGGGGATTGGAAAAATAGGAGGGCCCGCCTGTGATAGAAGAACCCCATCAAAATTTGTCTTTCGAAAAAAAGAATTTCATTATTTCACAGAAAATTGTTGGAGGACTTTTTTTGTTCACAAGTTTTATAAGTTTTCATTAATTTTGAACGAGAATTTGCCTAATTTTTCGATAAGAATTTTCGTGAAAAATGGCTGGAAAAAAGAAGGGCTCCCTTTAATTGAAACGCCCCTGTAAGAGGTACCCTGGAACCAGTGCTAATCCTTCTAATACAGGTTTTACGGTATTTGAAGTTTTCCGCTCAGTCGTCAACTGGAGTTTTTTGTGTGTACCAAAATAGCAGAAACTTGGCCATATCCCGGTTACAAAAAATTACTAAAAATGTAACCAAGAAGTATTTTGGAGGTGGTTTTGGTTTTTTTCGTGTGCACACACACATAAGTAGCATGAGGTAAAAGCCCCAGCACCACATTCTATAACACCCAAGGAGATGAAGCAGAAATAAGAGCGAGTAAACACAGTGTGAGAGTTTGCGTAACTCCTACTGATAACCTAGCACTCTCGTCGGTCCCCCGCGCAAAATATATTGAACTCCTCTAGAGTCTCGCGAGGTAGGCTTGGGTTGAACCATACTGCTGACAGTAAGCATACACAAACACTGTACTACTGATCCAAGAGCGCGTACGGCAGAGAGAGAGAGAGAGAGAGAGAGAGAGAGAGAGAGAGAGAGAGAGACAGAAGGTAACCGTTTTGAAATTAACACACACTCGAATGGCGTTCAAACAGGCGGGAGCGAGGATGGCGGCGAGGGGAAGGAAGAAGGTGTTTGAATAGATTCAGATGATAGATTCTGAATTTCACACAAAAGAAATGAAATTCATGAAAGCGTGTCAGGGTGTGGTCAAGAGATGGGACACGATATGCCGGCGCGGTACCCTTTCAGGCGTTTTTACTAGCTGAGAACATTGACCAAAACCCAACCCATTTTGATGGTTCGGAAAAAAGTGTCGGCGGGTGTTTGGAGCGCGCGTCGAGAAAAAATTTTTTTGGGGCCAAATATGCACTTTGTAGGTGCCCTTAGTCGTGGGAACTTGGCGACGATGGTAAGGATTATGGTTTTTCGAGGGGCGGATGCCACTTGAACTTTGAGATTGGACGTTTTGAATTAATATGATCGTCGAATGCGACAGGGGTGTAATGAAATGAGGCTTTTGTAATGTGGGAAACAATAATGTATGAGGAATATGGTAGGTGTACCGAATTTCAATAGGAAGTTCAGGCTGCAGCTGGGTACGCAATCGGAATTCGTTACTTGTCTAGTATATTGGGTGATTTGGAAATTGAAACATTTCAACCTAAAATACTCCAAATGGAAAGCGCCAAGTAAACACTAACAGAAGGCCACAGTATTTTTGAAGTACTTGAGAAAAATTGAGATCCTTGAGCTCAAAGTTTAAGTGTAGGGTCTTCTATCAGAGTGTATACGGTACATTAAAAGCCAAGCTCTTCAGCGTTATTCAGCGGTCTTACTCTAAAACATAAAAGGAGCATAAATGAAAGTACCTTTTAATATAAGTCGAGGATAACAAGAATGGTCCCATTAATCCTAAAAGCCGAAAAGCTATTCCTTAAGGTACCGAACCTATAAATTATTTACCGGCTGCGTTATTATATGCTGTGCTTGGAACAAGACCATAGGTAAACAGGATTTTCCTAACCATATAAGAAGGTTCTACAAAAAATTTCTAGAAACAGTGAAACAAAGTGGAATTTTGTATTTGCAAACTTTTCATTCGTCTACCAAGGCAAATTGGCTCAAATTGAGAAATGCACTTTCTGAACAATTTAGACAATGTTCAACAACTTTTCATCATACACTTTCGAAAAAAGGAAAATTCTAGAGATTGCAAAATACCAGAGGGAGGAGGCAAAAAAACTAGAGTTGGCTGGGAATGGGGTGGGACGGCCGACGGACGGACGACGGGGGGCCACAGAGGTATATGGAGAATATTCATGAATAATCATGGTGAGGAGCATCATTTGAATAATTCATACTCTGGCGAGAGGACGACGCCTCGCGACCCACACACATACACGTATTCAGAAGACACACCGTTAATCTCTACACGAATTTCGATATTTCAGACTCCTTTTTTGGAGTGTATCTTCTCTTTTCGGTTGGCGGGGGGTCAGTTTGATACCCAGTGCATTTAACTTCCAATTACAAGCATTCAAGTGAAATTTCATGGACAAGTGTATGAAATCGGGCATAAAGTGGTATTGGAAGAGTGGGAATGTGGTGGGAAACGACGACGGAAAGAGGGGAGACGAGAGGGTGGTTGCTCGGAATTCATTACGCGTGATTGATGCAGAACCAAACATGTGGGGTCGAGACCGACGACGAGAGCAACATCGGTCGTTCATGAACATCCGGACAAGTTTACTACACTAACGAGGAAGAGTCAGACGATGATGACGGCGATTAGCAACTTTTGAAAACATGGGAGTGCTGTTGTTGATTGATTTAAGCGGAACTATTGTACTTTGTGAGTTATTCAGATATTGTACTTTATGTTTATTACGGACCTAAATTTTAAGGCTACTTTGTTTTCATTCTATGTAGAAGTGGTGAATGCTTGAAAAGTACCGTAAACACTCTAACAGAACACCACCCGCCCCGCTAGTTTTACACTTTGAGCCCATGTATCTCATTTCCTGTGAAAGATATCAAGAAGTGGTTAATTAACAAATTGTCTATCAATGAATTTATAAATTATCATAATATCACAATTATTTTATCAGTTAATCATTTTTTGATATCTGTTACAGGAACCAAGATAAATTGACTCAAAGCCGACGGTTTGGAGACATTCTATTAGAGTATTCACATTAAATCATTTTCCATTCTTCGTTTCGGTAAAGCTTTCGAAAATAAGCTCAGCTACTCAGAAACTACTAGGGCCGCTAGGCCGCCGTACCCTACCTATTTCAGAAGTAGCCTTTTCAGAATGCCGCAGCCGGCCGTGGCACAGCCTTGGCGTCACTGGCTTGAAAATTAAACGCTTCATGATCTCAAAAACTAATTTTCCTTTCAAGAGCTCAAAAGTTTTGAGTCAAAACGAACATTCATAATCCCGGAACAAGAAAAAATGTCAAAAACCAGCTACACGAAAAATGTTATAGTGTGAATCCCGATTGAAACGAAACGAATTCTTTGCAACCAAGGGCGCGCCTAGACCTGCCGGGCAGGACAACGTATGGTGACGGATGGTGTCACATGACTTTGATAAAGTGAAAAAGCAGACAAAGTGAAACATGGGGATACTGAGAGCATGATTGATACAAAAAGTCCGGACACACGCAGCACAAAAGTGTCACTAGCGTGGGTCTGATGCTCTCTTCCTCTGTTACAACGCAAAACTGTTTCATGTCGTCTGAGTCTCTATTTCTACGAGGCTGCAGATGGTTTACTACAAGCGGGACCCTCCCGAAAAAAAAACGAACTATAACAAAACTGGGTGTGTTGGTAGTAAAATTGATTGGTACTCTTTCTCCGTCTGTCGGCATTCTGTTGGATGGTTTACAACTGGGAGTCTCAAGGACATCAGAGGGTTACTGGGTTAGGTAAATATGTGGACGTTCAGAAGATGATGGCTAGAGGAAAGTGAAAGTTTACGGTTGAAACATAAACAGTTTTACTGGTATGTGATAAGTCGCAGACGTCGGGTTGGGTGATTAATTGAAATTTTAAATTGCCTTGATTGATTTTCTGCTATCAATCACTCTAGAGATAATGATGTCTCTAAATGCTGAATACTTTGGTTTTAAAATATATGGAAAATATTTTATTTGGGGATCTTCAGAAATAGTTCCTGGTTGGTTTAACCGAAATCAGAACTTTCTGGAATCAGTACAATAGAAATTAGAAAAGTGATAACAATTATCAGAACATACATCAGAAGGCAAGGAATAGAAACAGAGGATAAAAGAACACAGGTATCCTGATTTGATGGTTTTTCAAAAACATTCCCAACTGAGAATCGAGTTCGAACATCCATGGTGTGTTCAATGGAACTTCGTTTCGAACGTGTGTTGAATTTTACACTTTTCTTCTGAGCGGGTCCTGAAACAATATGATGTTGAAACTATTGACAAAGTTTTGAACTTTACCATAGGGAGGGGATCCAACTGGTGCTCCACCTCCTTCCGGCCTATCTTCTGAACATATTGGCCTGACACACTCTACTCCTGGTTCTCGAACCGTAATTGATATTTGACACTGGAAGAACAGTGTATCACGATCTGCAAATTTGTAGACATGCGCTTCTTGTCCAGCAAGTAAATTTTCTGGATATTCCAGGTCTGATAGGAGGAATTTGTCAATTGCACATCCGTTGGAATCTATCAAGAATGCACGATCTCCTTTCCCATCGTCCGCGGAACAAGTGTGAACTACCATGCAAAATGAATCATCTGAATTTTAGACTCTTATCATGAGAGATAGCAGAAAATTACCGTCACTACTCTCACATTTCCACTGATGGTACACTTGTCGTCCAATTAGTCCAAAATGCACTGGCTCACCAAATGGACCACCATCCAAGATTTGATATGTACAGTCAGGCAATGTCAATGTCTCATTCACACGAGCGGTACTAATTTCAGCCACTTCAATATTATCTCCTACTGTAGTATGGGATTCTTTATAGAGACACAGAAGATTGTAGGATCGATCGATTTTAGTGATGAAATATGGCTGGAATTTAGAAAAAACGTATTTTAGAAAAATATAGGTTTCGTATATTACATGAAATGATATGGTTACTGTAGTCTGGACCACAGTTCCCTTTGGATTCAGAATCTTTTGCCTCAATGCTCCACACAACCCAATTTCAAATTCCAGAAACGCGGATAGCCTTCCATTCCCCCTAGAAACGCAAATCGGCTCTGATGCAAAGTCTTTCACAAAGATGGTTCCAACAAATGGTTTTTCAGTTTTTATCTGAATCGAAATGGTTCGAGAATCACATTCTAATTGAACATCTCCTGAAAGAATTAAACGATACAAAGTGAAAAAAAAAAACAAAATATGTATCTTATTTTATGAAAAAGAAACCCACCAAACCGTCCACTTTTAACTCAATTTTCCCGATTCCTGTGAAAGATATCAAAAAGTAGGCAACTCATGAAATGGTGGTGTTTTTTGATTGATAATTTTTCAGTTGCCAAATTGTTGATATCTTTCACAGGAGTCAAGATATTTGAGCTCAAAGTTGATGGTTTGGCTTTTTCAGAGTACATACGGTATACATATCAGCTTACCGAAAAGGGAGTTATCTACTGGAATAGAATCTACGTAAAAAACAATAAAGAGAATCTGGAAAAGAGTATACATACTGTTTTGTAACATCTTGCATTATCCAAGCCATAAAAATAGGCTAGCTAATAGTGTTCAAGTGGCATTCTTAAGATTTCCGGTTGTGTGGTAATTTGAGAGATATACAATTTCTGATCGTCATTTACAAAAAAAAATACTAAAAGAAGGGAAAGAATATTATTTGGAAAGAAATGATTAATTGGCAGATACCGTACTTACTCTAATAGGAACCTTGTGCGTCCACTTTGAGCTCAATTATCTCGGTTTCTATGACAGATTTAAAAAAATCCGTAAACAAATAAAATATTGGTGATATTATGATGAATAAATTGTTCGTTGAAATGTTTTGACATGTTCCACAGGAATTGAGATAATTGAGCTCACTGTTGACGGTTTTGAAATTTAACCAAAAATTATGCATTAAAACTGATGTTTCTTTAAAAATTAAATCCGATTGCAATCAATTTTCAAAATTTCTTTATCAAAAATTGGAACATTGGCTCTAATTATTTGTTTTTTATGGTTCCTAATCGAATAATCGAGTGCTTGTGTTTTGTTGAAGAACATTGAAATTTGATTGATTTTCCTATCATTTATTATCTACATAATTTATTTTTCTATTTTTTCCTCTAAAGAGTTGAAACCATAAGTGTTGAAAGAAACATAAACTTTGCTAATTTCCATTTTCAGGAGGGATTGAAATGACACCTGAACAAAAAATGCAATATATTTTCTTTTAATTTCTCGAATTTCGAATTTCTCACATTTTTCAGTTTCAAATTTACATACATTCTCATTCGAAGCCTTCTTCTTCGAACGGCCGGCCGACCGCGGCCTACCTCATTTCTATTTTCCCCTCTCCCGCCATTTTTGCTCTCGGTCTCCACTCTCTAGCCCATGTCAAAGATGCGCGTTTGCATTACTCTGTTTTGTTTTGAATTTGTTTCTTTTTTTTCTAAAAAATCTAATTTTCTGGTTCATTTGCAACTATTGTGCTATCCTTACAATATAAAATAGTTTTAATAAAATTTTCACCAGTTGCAACAGTCATTGGCTTTTGCAAGCTTCAGTTAAAAAACATGGAAATCGACGAAGAACCCGGTCCAATGGTAGACACATCAGATGAATCCGATATCGGCGAGGATATGGAATCATATGGTGAATATTTATTATGTTGAGCTAAAAAAAATTATCAAACGAATTCCAGTCGCACGAGATCCATACTTTGATCGATTCACCGGTAGAACGCAAATTCCACACAGAGTTAAAGAAACTATTCAAATGGATGTGAAAACCGGCGAAAGGCTTGGGAATTGTGCCCGTATGCATTACAGTTTGTTGTGAGTTCTGGTTTAACAAAACAGAATCAATAAATCATTTTCAGAAAAGCGTTCATGAATCGAGTAGGGGAATGTGGTCTGATGAACGTGAAAGATCCACCGAAGCACATGGTAGGAAACTCTAAACAAGCTGCCCACTTCCTTTCTGTCTTAAAAAAATAGTTTCTTTCCTCTTCGAAAAATTCCGATCAGGGAAACAACCTTACCTTCCATTTGACCTAAATTCAGTTCATGACTCTCTATCTCTCCCACACTATTTCTTGCCTTCTACATCCTCTCTGCGTCTTTCTCACTCTAAGTACCTCGCCTAGTGTTCTTTATACAATACATGTTTTCTATCGCTACCGTCACTGTTACTATCGTTCTCGTTTCAATTGTGTATATTCATATTCAGCTCATCATGTCGGACTCGCACGTCAACGCTACTGGCGGATCTCATAAGCTCAACACTGGATTTCACATCCCACTCGTCGGTTTCGGAACCTACAAAGTCGTTGGAGACGATGTGATGACAGCAATCGATGCTGCTCTCACTGCTGGCTATCGGATGTTCGATACAGCCAAATATTACAATAATGAGAAGGAGTTGGGAGAAGCAATCAAGGTTTTTTTTCAATCTTCTTCTCACCTCAATTCCCTTTTTTGCAGGTTCTGCTTCCGAAGCATGGATTAACTCGCTCCGATATTTTCCTCACCACAAAGTTCTTCCCTGAAAGGGATGACTGTCGAAAGGCTTGCGAAAATTTCGTCGAGGAATCGCTGAAGAATCTTAACACCAATTACATTGATATGTACTTGGTTCACTATCCAAAACCAAATGTTTGTGATAATGACGATGAGAAGAATGCAGAATATCGGAAAGTCGCATATCAAGTATTGGAAGAAGCTCAAGGTTTCTTGTTGTAGATTTACTTTTTTTAATTTTCCAATTTTCAGCCGCTGGCAAGATTCGGTCGGTCGGAGTCTCCAACTACGAAATCAAGCATCTCGAAGAGCTGAAAACTCATGCCAAAGTTCCACCGTGTGCCAATCAAGTCGAATATCATCCACATTTCGTTCGTAAGGAGCTTCACGACTACTGCAAAATGGAAAATATCTTCTTCCAGGTTCGTTGAGATTGCTTTCAGGCCCCGAAACGGGCGATAAACACCTCCTGATGTACATAGTGTAGAAAAATGAGTAGATTCATATAGAAACAAAGAAAATGTTTTTAAAAAATTGGCAAAATCTCGAAAAATCACTCGTCCCTTTCTGGAAACTTCTGGAATTTTCTCGCCAAAACTGAAAAATCCGAAAAAAATAGCGATTTTTCGAGGAGAAAAGTCATTCGAATTTTGATTTTTTTTTTAAACTTTTTAGGTTTTCTAGCTATTTTCATAGATTCTTTATCGATTTTTTCAGGTTTCTTGTCTTAAACTTGAAAAACGGTTTTCGGGAAGGTTACTGTAGAAAACCTTCTATTTGTAGTTTTTTTGCGAACACAATCACGTTCATTTTGACGTTATTGCGTTTTCATAAAAAAAACTACAGTAACCTACTGTAATCTTCGCGAACACCATCCTGTCAAATTCAAGACAAAAAATTCGGAAAAATCGAAAATTATCGAAAATAGCTGAAAAACCTGAAAAGGTCTAAAAATTTCGCCAAAAATTTCCCTTGATTTCATTCAATTTTCAGGCGTTCTCTTCACTCGCCCGACACGAGAAAGCTCTCATTGAAGACCCAGTTGTCGTTGAATTGGCCAAGAAGCATCAAACGACTGTACCGGTAAGAAAAAACTGGAGCATTTCTATACCAACCTCCATAAGCTTCCAGCTAGTTCTCCTCGCATGGGCTCTTCGTCAGGACGTCGGAATCGTTCCAAAATCCGTGACACCGGCGAGAATCGCTGAGAATTTCAAAGTTATCGATGTCAAACTATCTCCAGAAGACATCAAATCGTTGGCTGCCCTTGACAAGGGTCAGCATTATATTCGATGCACCGGGTGGCTTGTGAAATAAATTGATATCATTTATATATGTAACGATTTCATGTGGTATCAGTAAATTATTTTTTTCCTTTATATGCTGACCTATTTCTGTGAAATTTTCAAAAAATTAATTCATTTGATATGCTGTTTTTCTAGTTCCTTCGATTCCTCGCAATACTTCGCTAAATATATCTGCAAGCTTTTGCCTCCTGCTTTTGAGCTTAAATTAAAAGTCTTCAGATGTCCGTGAAACTAAATACCGGCTACGAGTGCCCATTAGTCGGATTCGGAACCTATAAAGTTGTTGGAGATCAGGTCCATCGTGTAATCGACGAAGCTCTGAAAGCTGGCTATCGATTGTTCGACACTGCCAAAGTGTACAATAATGAATCGGAGATTGGTTTGGCGTTAGAAGTATTTAGAACTTTCTAAAATTAAAAAATTTCGTTTATTTTTGATAGAACCTTCTCCCAAAGCACAATTTGAAACGAGAAGACATTTTCATCACCACGAAACTTCATCCGAATACAGAATACGAAGTCAAGAGAATGGTTGAAGAATCGCTGTATTTGTTGAGAACCAAGTTTATTCAACGTTTTTAGACAAAAAAGAAATTTTGAATTCAGTTACATCGATATGTATCTTATTCATTATCCGAAAGGAACAAATTCCACCGACGAGGATCCGAAGAATAAAATTCAAAGAATCGCAACGTGGAATGTACTGAACGAATGCAAAGATGCCGGAAAAATCCGATCTGTCGGAGTTTCAAGCTACGAAATTCGTCATCTGGAGGAGCTGAATTCGTTCCAGAACTTTCCACCGTGTTGTAATCAAGTCGAATATCATCCACATTTTACAAGAGTCGAATTGAAGAAGTATTGTGATGATAACAACATTTTCTTCCAGGTCACTTCCTATTTTTTATATTAATACACATTTTTGATTTCCAGGCATTCTCCTCTTTGGCAAGACACAACGAAGCTCTTTTGTCTTCCCCGATTATTACAGAAATGTGCCAAAAGTATAAAGCGACTAGCAGTGTAAACATTTCTTAATGTATGAATTGTAATTTTCGGTTTTTCAGACGATTCTTCTTTCGTGGGCTACCAGCCAGGGTGTCGGAGTGATTCCTAAATCTAGTGACTCAAAAAGAATCGCTAAAAACAGGAAGACTATCCAATTGGAAAAAGAAGACATTGCGAAGATTTCCGAGCTGAATATAAATCAACATTATGTTCGTACCACCGGATGGCTAGTTCTTTAACTATTTTGTTATTGTTGTTTTCAACTTGTTGTTAGATGAATTTTTTCTCATTTTTTCCGGAATATTTTTAAATCTCATTTCCTTGCGCGGTCGCATCGCGACTTTTCGGTGAGTAGCGACTCAACAACGCTTAACTTCACGTTTTTTTCAAAACACGTTTTGAAATTTTCGAATCTGGCACGCAGCCAACTTTTGTGTGCGACGAAGCGCGCGTTTTTCAGGTTTCCAACCGCGATGCCGTGATGCAGGTACAAAACCGGGCAGTTCAATTGGAAGCTTTCGTGACCACTTTGTAAATTAGCATTCCAGACATTTACATACCGTTCCTGTTAAAAATTGCCGTGTTATTATTTAGAAGTTACGAAGACACTTGTGGCGCCATGACGTCGTAGTATTTAAAATCAAGTGCGAAGATAAACTTTACTTCTTCTTTATCTTATCTCCTCGCGTCTCTCGGAAACGATTTTGCAACAAATTCCTTTATCCCAAGCAGGGGATATCATTCAGATATGTGGTCAAAAGTTTAGTGATTTCAGTGGGTGTAACCGAAACGGCTGAAGAGTGTTTTACGTAAATGAAGGCTAACTCGAAGAACAGATCATTTGTAGTTTCCGGGAAACTCAGCAGGATACAGTATACTGAAAAAACTAAAAAATTTTTGTTTCAAGACCTACAGTACCGGTCAATAAGATATACAAAATGATCATTTTCAGTTGATTTTCAGGAGTCTGGAGCTAGCAGGTCAACATTCCGATCACTTTGAAAATTTTTGAGTGTGTAAAACAGAACTGTATTGAAAGCTCTGCATTCACAAACTTTTTTGAAATTTTCTAGCTTCAGATTATTTTCCGATTTCTGAAAGACACCCCTTTTCTGCCCTTTTTTGTACTGGAACCGTAAAAAATTCGGAAACTTGATAGCCGAGATCCAGACTCCTGAAAATGGTCGAAAAAATTCAACTGAAAAACACATTTTTGTATATCTCATTAACCGATACTGTAGTTCGGCAGATTTCAGACTTCAACCAGCAACGATACGAGAACACTGGAAGTTTCTTTCCCATTGGAAGCATCAGAATACAAAAGGGTTTCCATGCCAATCATCTTTCTCTTTTACTGCTTCCTATTCTTCTCTTTCCGTCCACCACATTGATTTCATTACATTTATCATTATACAGTCTCAATTCCTTCCCCATAATGAAGCTTCTTCCCTATGTAATGGATATTGCGCCAGAACTGGTACTGCACTTCTCGCCACATTGACCACCATAACATGCACTTTTTTCCGAAGCGATCCTAATCACTTTTGTCCTTCTCCTCCTGCCACCAACGTTTTTTCTCTTCCCAATCGTTCGTCAGGAGTCGTTAAGAGAAAACGCTTGCGTAACGAAACGTGTCTGATGTGTGTCCCGTAGACACCTAAACGCAAGATACAGAAAGCCAGAATGTGATGAATTATCGGCGACGATAAGCTTTCGCCGAAAAAATTACGTGTACAGGTGTCAGTGTCTGTCGTCTCCCTACAAAAGAGGCGGAGTCTGTCTTCAGAGTATTGTTTCAAAAGTTGTAGCATCGTTTGGGAGGTACTCTCTAAAGAATGCACACTATTTCGGCACCACCCACTGTTCAGGTTTTGCCAATGATATCACCCGTCGTATAAAAGGCTCGAGTCGAGGCTGGAAAAAGTATAGTCTTCGACTTTCAACAACTTTCTTCAACATGCAAAAGATCGTTCTTTTCTTCACAACCATCGCCGTCGCTCAGGCCTTCCTTCTTCCATCCGGAGGAGGAGGATGTGGATGCGCGTAAGTTTTAATTTCTTTTGGAAATCATAAGCTCTAGAAATATATCTTGATCAAGCATATCTTTTTCAGTCCACCACCACCACCACCACCATGCGGATGCGGAGGAGGAGGACTTCCACCACTCCAACTCCCAAGATTCGAGCTTCCAAGACTCTCCCTTCCATCCTTCGGAGGAGGCGGTTGCGGAGGAGGATGCGGAGCCGCCCCAGCTCCAGCCTACGCTGCTCCACCACCAGCTGCCTCTTACGCCGCCCCACCACCACCACCAGCCGGATACGCCACCGCTGGACGCAAGTAAACAGTGTGAACAAGACGACTAGGAATCATACCTTTTAATTTTCAATTTATTTCCCCCCTTACTGTCACTTATGTGTCTGTACATCTATGACAACATTTTCCCCCTTCCTCATCATCCTTCCAATCGTTCTCAATTCAATTCACCTGTTTAGCAATGTGGTCCCCATTTTGAAATAAATCCAACTTTCGCATATTGATCTGAAACTTGCAGGGTTTGGAACTACTCCAAAAATTAGTCCTGACCTCCAAACCTGGGATTCAAAACTGTTTCTATAAATTCTGAAAACATCACTATCAGAGATGTTCAGTTATGAAGATTAATCACCATTTGAACAATCATGCTTAAGAGATCATGTTCCTCATTCCTTTCTCCACGGCGTAATCTTTGTAAGCGCGAATCTATCTTACGCAATTTCAATGTTCTCTTCTCGCAAAACGAATGGCAATTATAAGCTGGGAGGTCTACTTTTTTTGTTCACTCATCACAATGGCATCTTGTCGTTTGGGATAATGTACTTGCGACATAATGAAACATTTTTTTGGGTTGATTAGCCTTGTCAGCAGGGTCATATTGTTTAAATTCTATGATTGTGTGATGGTTTTAGCTTTCACGTGAAGAGGAAGTTGAGAGAAGAGGATTTGGTGTAAAAACGGGTCAGAAGAAGCATTGAACGCACAATGATTAGAATATGAGATTGGAATTTTAAAAAGGAGCGGGTTCTTTATGTGTGTTGTGTTTGTATGGAAGCGAAAGTTTTTGAAAAGTAAAGGAAATAAATTTGTGGCTTGAGGATTGTTTAATTTTTAAGTTCATGTGGGTACATTACGGTTTTTCAAGTTACATACTCTAATAGAAACCCACCCAATACTTGAACTTTAAGCTCAATTAGCTCGGGTCTTATAGGAGATATAAGAAATGAGACAACTGATAAAATGTTTCTGATATCATGAAAAACAGTTTATCACTTGATAACTTTTTTATATCTTTGACAGAAATCTAGATAAATTGGCTCAAAGTTAAAAGTTGCAAAATCAAATGGAATTTCTAACTTTTAACTTTGAGCCAATTTATATCGGTTCCTGTCAAAGATATGAAAAAGTTGTCAACTGATCAAATGTTTATGATAATTTGATTAACCATTTATTGGTTGACAACTTTTCCACATATTTGATAGGAATCAAGATAATTAAGCGCAATGTTCAAGTATTTAGTGGCTAGATGAAATACGGTTTTAAGAGTCTGGGTTATCTCTTAAGCCCCTACAAAAATCTTACATCAACAATATTTTCAGCGTCCCCCTTTTCTTTCATAGTTCCCGGTTCATGTTCAGAACAATAAGGAATCATGTGAAGCTTCCTCACATGATACCTCACATGGTATACAACTGGATTTGTGCTTCAACATTCCGGTCAGATTGCGTAAGGCAGCAAATGAATTTCTCGATTAACATGACGTAAGGAATTTGGATTTTAAACTACGGAGGCTGGTCAGATTGGGATACTACCGCTAGTAAAACTGGCCAAACTCTGACAAACTAAAATCTGACAATGGTCTGCTACACAGCCGTTTTTGGGCAACTTCTGACCAGAACCTGGCCAACATCCGTCCAAAAGCCGAACCCTCTCTAGTTCTGACCAAAAGTTACAAACCGACAGCCGAGCAGTTTTGTGAGAAGATCTTGATAAAATCCAATATTTGTCAAATTTCTGAATAAAAATGGCCAAATCCTGAAGTATTGGTTCCCCAGAGAATTACGAAAGTTTTATGGTCCCATTCATCTACCACATTATCTTTAAAAAAATGTAATTGTCCATTCTGGATTTTAAAAAATTTACCCTTGTTTATTTTTGCAACATAATCTCCCTCATATCGATATCTTTTTTCCTTTATCCAAACGGTTTCAACAGTCATGTATACATTTATTATCTTTTATCAATCGCCCTCCTCCCTGCCAATCCCACACAAAATAATAGTATGTCTTCGAAATCCTCCACTTTCGTTTGAAACAAAAATAATGGATAAGTGGGAAAATGGAGACGGAGGAGGAGGCAAAGAATATCAAAATGCCTTTCTTCTATAACGGATTGAAGAAAGATATGCCACCGATTCTTATCTCCTATTTCGGCCAATCGTCTAAAAGATATCGAAGAGAGGAAATGAGAGAAAAAGCTTCTTGTGGAGGTCACCGCGCTTCAACTTAAACGCAACAAAATCGTCTGGTTCGTGTATCTGGGTACCGAAGCTTTGTCATTGACAACACAAAAGGGCACTTTTCTGATTCATCGATCAGGAATGGGATGGATGAAAGTGAGAGCGAGTTGATCTTCTCAAACCACAATGTTATGCAACGTGAGGTAACTGAAAATGAATGATAAGAAGAAGAAGAAGCTGATGATGATGAAATGTATACTTCCACCGGAAGCATTGGGTGGGGATGCAAAGAGTTTCGAAATATAAAACAGGAGGATAGATTTTCAGAGCACACCATGGTATGAAACAATGAAACAATGAAAGAATTCTGAAAATTCATTAGGAACTATAAATGTTCCCGAAAATTGAGTTTTTCAGATTTAAAACGACAAAAATTAGTTAACAACCTTCAAGCTTGGCCTCGAATCTCAGGCTTAATTTGGTCTTTAATTGTAATTGCTGGATTTGACCTGCAGCGCTCTCGGTTGTTGAAAGGATAAACTATAAATCCAATTCGGAGATTTTGGATTATCGAATGGTTTTAGGCGGAAAGCTCAGACTCTCGTTGAGTGGTAAAAAATGGGAAAAAGATTGATAGAATAAAGAAGAATGACCAATGAATTTAAACCTTGCCTTTCTTTCAAACAACAACTTTCAGACTGGTACTTGCACAAAAACTACCTATGATGGAAAAAGAAATGTGACTGGAACAAATTCGAATAACAAGGAAGTTGATTAAGGGAATTTCAATTATTTAGTCCAGAAAATGAAATTACCGTATTTTTTCCAATAGAAGCCCACCCAAACCGTCAACTTTGATCTCAATTATATCAGCTCCTGTGAAAGATAGCAATAATGTGTCAACTGATAAATTGTTCATCATGATACCAATATTTTGTCAGTCGCCAATTGCTTGATATATCTTACAGGTATTGAGATACTTGAGCTCAAAGTAGATGATTTGGGTGGGCTTCTATTAGATGTTTATGGTATTCATATGAATGAAGGCTGAACTTCAAGAATCGACTGATTTCTACACAATATTACTTTAAAAACTCATAAGGCATTCAGCCAGCAAAAACACTCTTCTAATATTGTGAGAGTTGAGACATCTGAGGTTATGACAAAACAGAAAGGTCTTCCACTTTTTTGAACTAAAAATTTCTCCGGAATCCAGAACCAAAGCCGTCGAAATTCCCATAGGAGAAATAATGACAATCCTTGTACTTTTCGTCTTTTCCCATATGCCTCATTTGACACGAAACGTATGCTTCACCGTAAAATCCTGATAATCCTAATTTCACTTTTTGTCCTTCTTCGCTGCCATTCAATCCGATCCGTCGCCCTTTTTCTCATATCTGTCACTGTATTCATCCGATGAAAATCATCATCCGAATCCATGGTCTCTCCGTTGTCTGGCATCAGGTGAAGCGAAGGAAAAGAGTAGGGAGGGAGAGAAAAAAGCGCGAAAGGAGGAAAAAGCTGAAGACGAAGAGATATACATTGTTGCAGAACTCGTCATATCAATTGTCCTTTTTCCGCAGCGTCCCTGTCCCACAAACCGTGCCGTTTTGCGTCGTCATCTTTCTTTCAATGTCGCAATTTCTGGTTTTGACCGATGTCTCGCCCAAAAGGCAAGCTCCTTTGGCATTTTCATTCAATAAGCCCCGCCCACTAAATAAGATCTATTTAAGGAGGCAAAGCCATTGGTGAAAGGTATCCAATTCATTTGGTTCTAAAACTTCTCTAGCCATGCAGAAGCTCATCGTTTTCTTCACCACCATCGCCGCCGCTCAGGCCTTCCTTCTTCCATCCGGAGGAGGTGGATGTGGATGCGCGTAAGTTTAAAACTTCTTAAATCATTGAAATCTTCTTTTTTGCAATCCTTTTCTCTTTTTTGAATGTCTTCTAAACCATCAAAATCTATAGTTTGAATACAAGTCACATTCCTATGTATTTCTTCTGATCTTCATACCATTTCTTTTCCTTTCAGTCCACCACCACCACCACCACCATGCGGATGCGGAGGAGGAGGTCTTCCACCACTCCAACTCCCAAGATTTGAGCTCCCAAGACTCGCTCTTCCATCCCTCGGAGGAGGAGGCTGCTGCCCACCACCAGCCCCAGCTTGCGGAGGAGGATGCGGAGGAGCCGCCCCACCACCAGCCGGCGGATATGCTACCGCCCCAGCTGCCCCAGCCGGAGGATACGCCACTGGACCAGTCGGAGGACCAATTGGAGGGCCGATCGGAGGACCAATCGGAGGACCAATCGGAGGAGGATACCAAGCTGCCCCAGCTTTCGGAGGAGCCGCCGCCGGAGGAAACTACCAAGCTGCCCCAGCCCTCGGAGGAGCCGGACCAATCGCCGGAGGAAACTACCAAGCCGGACCAGCCCCAGCCGCTCAAGGAGGAAACTACCAAGCTCAAGCTCCAGTCGAGTCTGCCCCAGTTGAGCAAGCCGCTCCAGCTCAAGGAGGATACCAAGCTCAAGCCCCAGCTCAGGGAGGAGCCTACTCTGAGGGACACAAGAACTAGACGATCTAATAACGTTTAGATATTTATTTATTCGTTGTTATTGTTGATTCATCTCATTCTTTGTATATCAGAACGATTGTTTTTTGCCCCGCGACTCATTTCACGAAATGAAGTTTTGACTCCAATTACAAGCTTGATTTTGACTTATTACAAAACTTTTTTATTCAAGCCTTGGAAACTATAATAATTTGAGAATTGTGCATAACTGAAGATTTATTGAAGAATTATTAAGAAGAAAAGAAAACAATACAACCAAAAAAAAATTACAATGAGATTGTTACTGATTTAAATGGGGCCGCTGTGTATCTTACACTCTCTGGAGAGTAGCATTCTGAGTCCTCGATGGTGATTTTGCACTTGGTTTTGATCGGAGTTGGAGCTTGTGGTTGAATGTAGATATTCTGATGACTTGATCGAATCAAAATACAGATAGTGCAGATGAGAGCAAGAAGGATTACAATGACAATCATGAGAGATCCACAGAGAAAAGTGTTGGTGGAAATAGGAGCCATGGAACGACCTGGAGAAGTTTCAGTGACGACTTTGACCTTGGTGGTTCCAGATGTTGCTGGAGACACTGGAGTAGTAGTAGAAGACGTGGTTGATGTTGAAGTAGTTCTATCATTGCAGTGGTATCCGTAAAATCCAGAATCACATTCAAAGAAAGACTGAACCAAAATAACGGTTTGAGAAAATATGAATGTTTGGTAGCTGGTTCCATTCGAAGTTTCCATTTCATATACGTAAGATTGTGGAGGGCTTCCACCTTTGAAGAAAGCAATTTCAATCGTCTTCTGATTCACTTTTGGATGGAAGCTGACAATTCGAGTGATTCCCATGTTGAGTCGTAGAGCTTGGAAACTTGAACTTGTCTTGAGGTGGAGAGTACAGTGCTCGGAAGATGTGAGCTCAAGACGGAGATGTCCTGTAGCAGACGTCATGGAGACTAGAGAGAATAAAGTAATGGCTGGATAGAAAGACAGCATTGTGAGTTGCACAAAGTGAAGCAGACCAGAGTGGATGAAAACTTGGATTATTCGGGTCCTTATATACACTTTTTTGGCACAGCCCACTCGAATGAGCACCTTAATGTTATCATCTTTGTTTAGTCATCGTTCCGTTTAACAGTTGTAAAAAGATGGAAGTATACATACAGTATGTCCAGGTATACTCATTGTATACGGTCCCTTGATTTACAACCAAGACGGAATTATGACAGCCACCCCCAGTTAGAGGAACAGATCAAAACCATTTAATAGAATTTGCATAAAACTGGTTGACCACGTTTTGAAATCTTTCAAAGAAACCAAGATAATTGATCTCAAAGTGCACGTATAGGGTTAAGCTCCTAATCTTTGACCGTAAAATTTCATTGCTTCTGGAAAAATTCTGGGAATTCTGGAAAAGAAAAATTTGAACCAATGTAACTCAGCTCCTGTGAGAGATATCTGAAAGGGATCAAAGGACAAATCGTTGAACATAATATGAAATGTATTTTATCCTTTGAAAAATGTTTGATTCCTTGGCTAAAATCGCAATTGTGGTGCAAAATAAACACAAAGATAGGATCATCAGTTAATGCGACAACACTTTATTTAATGGGTTAAGATTCTGAGTCAGGATATTCTTAACCTGCATGTAACATTGGCATCGGTTGTAGGCTTCTATCCGAGAAGGGCCAGCATTGGGATCCCTGAGAGTTCATTGGTCCAAGATCCTTGAAGCCTCTGCTGTCGCGACAAAGATTATTCACTTATTTTCAGTCTGAATCATCAGGAACGCTCCAAATAATCTTGTTTCTCGTGGACCATCTCTTTGCATGAATCGTCTGATTTCAGTTTCAGAAATTGAACAAATTATCTTGGACTCGCTCCAGCTCCAGAGCTCCTGCTCCAGGCCTCCTGCTCCAGAGCTCCTGCTCCAGAGCTCCTGCTCCAGGTCTCCTGCTCCAGAGCTCCTGCTCCAGATCTCCTGCTCCAGAGCTTCCGCTCCAGCACCCGGCTTCCAGTACCCAGGCAGCAGGACCCGGATCCCTCCCCCCGGCTCCCCTTCTCTGGAGCTCAGAGAAGAGAGAACTGATCCTTCCCTTCACTTTACTATTCCCTTTAGTATTCTTCCCGAGGTCAATGGACCATCTAGGGTCACAGGCGTCCAAATCAATTCCCGTTTTTTTCCTGGTTCTTAAGAAAAGTATTTACTTTCTTTGCCACGTGGATTTATATTACTCACAAATATTTTTCACCACGTTTAAATAATAATTGAATATTCACATTATTGTCTATTCAAAATAATCGCGCGAGTGAACGAGTAAAAATGTCTGCGTCTCTACTCTACAGGTTTGGAGACTGCCTCTACAGGTTTGGAGACTCTCTACACGTTTTTTTACTCGTTCACCCGCGCGATTATTTTGAATAGACAATAGCGATATTTTAAATTTCTTAAAAAGACTATCACTTTGACCCGAATTATCTCGTTTCCTGATTGAGCTATCAAGAAATTTATAACTAATGAAATGTTTCCGATATCAAAGTAAATCTATTTGCTATCGAATTTTTTAAAATATCTTTTACAGGAACCGAGAATTAGCACCGTAAACACTTTAAGGGAATGTCCCCTTAACTTTCACCTTTGAGCTCATTTATCTCGTTTTCTGTTAAAGATAACAAAAAGTGATAAACTGACAAAATGCTTATCATAACATCAATAATATTTCATCAGTTGACAACTTTTTGATATTTTTCACAGGAACCGAGACAAATTGTAAATTTTCGATATCAAGTTGATTTCCTAGAACTGACAAACAACTTCGGAGTCTAAAAGTTGAACTTTTGGCAGCAGAACGAAGACAATAGTTTTGATTTTTTATCACACCCAATGATAAGCTTTTATTATGGTAAGCTTCTGTTATACGTCAGGGCATAACTCACTGTTGTTTTTCTCAGTTTCTTGAAGAAAAACGCCTTGTCATTTCTCTTATTAGCCAAAAAAAACAACCCATGTTTTATATGTTTTTTACTTCCATTTTTTGTTCTAAACACTGATTACTGATGGTATCTCTAGATGGTTTAGATGAACCACTGAGCTCAATAGATTATGGACAGTTTGATGGATTTTATGAAGCTTATCAATTTCAAAAAGATATTACTGACTTATTGAGTTTTATTAACTTTTTTAGGCGTTTTGATGTTTTTACCAAACTATTGTCTACGATTTTCAGTATTCTGGATGCTTTCGCAAAGCTTATTCACTATCTATATTATCTTCTCATCTGTGAAAATTGATCGAATCTATCGACGATTAATGGTTGAACACATCGTTATCTCTACGGTTTTATCCTTTGTATTTCCGTTCACTGGGATCAATATCATTGCCAACTACCGTATATTACTGATTGGTGATTAGGAATTCATAGATTTTTTTCAAGTTTTCAAATGTTTCAGATAAGTGGTTGAGCAACTCAAGTCTACCACTCTTAACCGTATCCACTCTTGTATTTGGGTACTTGGCAGTAGCTCTACTCTTTATGTATTCATTTTTCATCAACTTTCTGGCTTCCACAAACTTCAGCGTTTTTATAAGTTCTTTTAGAGAGAAAAATCTATACTTGGTTTTGACGGTAACACTGATTGTGTATGGGATTATTATATCTATCTGCATAATTTAGGTTTCTATTTGAACATTTCTACAATTGTCATCAAACTGATTGATATTGAACCAAAGTTTTCGGATATACTCCAAGAGAAAACTGTACATGTTTTTGTCATGACGCGTGGGATTAAATACATCATACATGCACTGGGGGTGATTGCAATGGTTTTCAGTCCAATTTCCGTTTTGATACTTCTCGGGTGAATTCTTTTTTTAATACCAGATAATACATAACTAATTAGAAACTACATCCATGTGAGAAGTCAGAGAAACAAACAGTCCGATATGGTGAAAAGACAGCAAAAACTAACAATTCGAATCGAAATTTTCTATCTTATTATGATCTTCGTTTGTTATTTTCCATCTTTTCTTACACTCATCAGCTCGATCATTCTTCAAAATTTTCCAGAATCAATGAAAAGGTTTTTTTAGTTATGTAGGGTTTGGGCTGCTGTGGTAGGCGATTGTACTCTATTGAGAAGGGGCGTTTTTAGTCGGCCTTAAATTTTGGCACCTACTCATTGGAGCGCTCCCGCATACCACAGCGGTTTGAACTCTGCGTAGTTATTAGAACCTGCGTAGTTATTAGAACAAATCCAACTTCTGCCGATTCTTGACTGCACTCTTCACCTTTGTATGATAACTGTTTACCAAAAAGCTGCTTATCAAATACTCAACAATTTTATCAGTGGAATTTTAGCGTCACAAAAACAACGAGAAAACAGTATTGACAGAAGAACTGCACAATTTATGTAAACCAACTTCAGAAGGAGTGTTACAGAAGACGTTTAATAAACAGTTTATTATTGCAAATGAACTAAAATTAGAGTGAATGAAACAATTCTTAAGAAGTTATTTTTTCGCCTTATTTTCCAACGACTTTCTTATTTCTTCGCTTAATTTCTCAACGACGCGATTCACGGAATCCTGAACTTCTGCTCTCAAGCTGTTGATTTCTTTCAGATAATCCAGGATCTGTTGTTTTTCAGGAAGTTCTGGACTTTCGTACTGAAAATATGTCTTAGTTACATAATACCAAAATGTTACCGTATTACCCCACAAAGGTGCAAATGAATGATTCCATATTTCGCATCCAAATCATAGTACTTTTTCAAAAAACTAGCAAAGTGTTTCCTGAGCTCTTCCTCAAGACCAAAGCTATCAGAAATCGTTTCAAACAGATGACAGCAAGCTGATTTTATTTCATTATCATTCTTAACCAGTTGCTTGGCCAAGTCCTTCAATTTTCCGCAGGCTTCGTCCCGTTGGTTGGAATCATTTGAATTAGATGGAGATGCGTCACGAAAGTCAATCTGAAAAATGTCAGAATTCTCCGATTCGAATTTAGTGTGGGAAATACCTGTTCCAAGGTTTCGTTCAGAACATCGGATATTCTTTGAACGGGAAGAAGAAATTTCGCCACAGTCATTATGGGCACATATATTTTTCCGAACAAACCTAATTCTTCGCAATGATTTTTATCAGCGATATCGACTATCACTTTGCAACAATTAGTTATCGCGCGGCTGAAATATACATGTGTGAAGTAACAGTAGGAGGCATTTTTAAAAATGAATTAAACATAAATCTTTTGAAAATCTCTTACCCAGTTTCAATGAACATTTTGAGTACGCTGTCATATCCGTCATTGATGATTTTCTTATAGTATTCTTGACTCTTCTTTTCTTCAAGTTTTACGTTGGCGAAATCCAATGGAAGGCATTCCTCGATTCTTTTGGAAGCTTGTCCAATTCGAATCAACTGTTCTTTGTAAAACTCGAGGATACCATTGAGATTGGAATGAAAGTCTTGTATCTGAATAATTCAGGATTTTTCAGTTTATTAAAAAAAATCCCTCACTTCCGGAATTTCATTATTAATATTTATCGGACACTCAGGGGACTCATTCTCAGGCTTAATCACTGTAAGGCGTTCTCTCTCCAATTCAAGTTCTCTTTTTATTATTCCATCGCAAGTTGTAATCTTTTCTTCCAGGTTTTGGCGATATTCTAGCTGTAAAAGGAGTAGTAACATTGTTCGCTTTAAATTCGAAACCTTACCAATTTATCTTTCGACTCCTTTTCCTTTTCTTTGGCAAATTCCTTCAATTCAGCGATACGATTCATTTTCACTCGCTATTTAGGAGAAATATGACGGAAAAGTTTTTTATCATCTCCTTCGGGCGGTTTATATACGAGAGAACTGATTACAAACACTACAGAAAAGTATCAATACTAATAAAAAAAAGACATGGAGAAGTTGACTCATTATTAAAAGCGACTCATTATTTAGTCCGTTATCTTTTACTTTTTTTGTTGTTGAGCAAAGATCGACAAAAGTTATAACCATCCAAATGACTCATACTCACTATCAGTGTTTAATTTGAAAGTCATCGCGAAATGGACATGTTGTGACATATCTCCACTTGTCTTTAAACCTGGCACTCTTAAAGGAGGCCAGACAGCAAAATTTTCGGGGAAAATTTCAGGGAACGTGTGATTTGCCGTCGCGGTGTTCGCACCTAAAGCACGCAATCCGACGCGCAAAATTTTTTTATTTTTTTATTTTCCGACTTCATTTTTCCAAATTTTAAACGACTTTACAACTTAAAAAACGGTTTTTTTGTAATTTATTGTAAAAATCATATAAAATAAATTTTTTTTCGTAAATTTCCGGTTCAGTCGAATGATTATTTTGTCAGTGGCCGGTTTTTTCTAAAAATATGCAAAAACAAATTTTTTTCTCCGATTGCCGTTTCGTCTTTCTTTCAACTGGTATTTTTTCGTCTCATTATTACTCCGAAAATGAAAACAATACAGTATGCTTCATGAATGAGGTTTTCAGCAACGCCTTCACATCTTCTGCTCACTTCGCCTTGCGACGAAAAACTCGGAAGGAAACAAATTATAATTTTACGATTTTTTGAATTGTTTGTGTTCTTACTAAATATTTAATGTATTTTTTGCATAATTTATTTGTTGACATAATAAACTGCATATATTATTTTCAACAGTGTTTCTTATCTCGTAGCTAGGCTTTGACGGCACGCTGACGTTCCGAAAACTTCCATTCCAAAAATATTGAGTTCCAAACGTTGAATCCAAAAGAGACAAGATAAGAAAAAAGGGGAACCATCAGCGGGGATTGAACCTCCGACCTTCTGAATGCTAGCCTAGAGCGTACCCACTACACCACGCGTGTGAGAGGCGACGACCGCGTTGATTTGTCTTATGAAGCGACGCCGCTGCAGCAAACGAGTGAGGAAATTACGGTCAGAAAAAAAAGCATTTTTTCGTCGGTGTAGCCTTTTTTTCTGGTTTTTAATTACAAAACTATACTTATACTTTAGAGTTACCTCTTTTGAGAAAAAATAAAACTTTTGAAAATTTTGATGTCTCCCCTCCTTTAACGGTTCTGATCTGATGGAGGTTTTTTTAAAGTTTGTATCTGTAGTCTTTAACGGACAAGCCCTCTGTAGCTACACAATAAAATATGAGTAATGGGTTCCACTAGGCTCATATTTGGAGTGCATAACTTCAAATAATTCATAAAACTGGCCAACTTTCAATTTATCTTATCAGTTTTGAGCAGAGTTATAGCTTGTTAAAGTTGCGTGATCTCAAGCAAGAAATATTACACCGTTCATCTTCGGACAATCATAACAAAACCTAGATTTGAGGAATCGCTTTGAAATTTTTATCAGCTTTGAATCAAACGTAAATTCAATTTTCAACCAATTTTCGTGCCCTTAAGAGACTTGTGATCAAAGATATAATCGTTATTTAGGGTAATTGTACGCCACACTGTATTCTGCCAAAGAAAAGAGAAAATTCCGGTGTTTTTCTCTAAACAACAATGTTTCAAGAACACTGAAGAAGTCAACAAGACCAGTTAATTTTCAAAGATTCAGAACAATAATTTTATTAATATCAATACAAATTTAGAACACTTCAGAAGTTTGAGACATCTCTCTCATCTATTGTTACTGCCTTGGACGGATATGGAGAACGAGCGGGACTGCTTCAAACTAAGTTTTCTGAAAAAAATTCACAGAGTTTAAAAGTTAAAAGAGCAGTTCTTACGAGAATCGCTGTTTGAATTGAATAGTGATTGGTTTAGAGAACAAAAGTAACATCCAGGCAGAGAATGTGGAGTAGATGACACAGAGAATGTTGTACAGGAAATAGAAAACTCTCTTGTTCATTGATTGATTGATTTGAAGGGAGTAGACAACGAATGCAAAATATAGAAGCTCCACACAACACACAATCGCAGTCATTTTATCCAAACTACTCTCCCGTTTTTGTTTCTCCCTATTCATCAAGTATTGTGATCCTGATACCGAATTTCGTTTTGATGCACCCTTCTGAAATGATCTCTTGAAGCAATTAAATTTTTCTAGATCAGTTATCTAGCTTTATACTTTTGGGTTTGCTTGACTTGTTCGATTCTTCTAACTTACTTTGATTTTGAAATGATATGTGATATACGTCACCAGATTATTCACAACGATGGATAGCACAAAAAACACCTCAAGCACCGCCACAAAATTATAAAATGGTTTTCTGAACTCATTGTTCACAAAAGCGGAGTAGTACCTGAAGATCAAACAACACTATATTTCTTCGTTTTTCCCACGAAAATCACGAACCCTCCATTCTCATTCATATACTTGTACTCACGAGGGAGCAACAAAAGAACCGAAGCAACTGCTCCGGAGAGTTGCATGGCTTGCATAGTGTACGTGTATTTTGCATAGCTCAACTTAATGATGGAGAAATTATCAAAGATCAAAAGGGGCACTCACTTGTTGATAAAATACAGGAAAGCATACGGCACTGACTCGGCAGAATGACAAAATGGTAGCAGTGGCTCCTTGGACACATCGGCCACCATAGGTAATAGCGTAGAAAATGGCGCCGAGCCAGTTTTCATTTGTAAAGTAGAAAAAGGAGAGCCATCTGAAAGATTTCAGATGCTAGGGGGAGTTATGGTTAAGTTACCGTACCCTCTAGCTGGAATGATTTGCAGGGCAAAAAGATTGACAGCAGAAGTTATATCCACCAAGATACCAACAAACATCAACCGATAAAATGGACCTGAAATGGGCAAGTGAAAACTTTACAAGGTTGATAAAGTTACGGTGACTAAAATTTTTTTTTTCAGTAGGAATTTTTAAACTTTCATAAACTCGGTTTAATGTACCAGACTATCGTAAACCATCTACATGATAGAAAGTCACCGAAAACTTTGAAGTTTGAGCTCAATTATCTAGACTCATATGCAAGATATTTAAAATATGCTGACTAATAAAATGTTTTGATTTTATGATAAACAATTTATCAGTTGACAATTTTTTCAAATCTTCGACAGGAACCGAGATAAATTGGCTCAAAGTTAGGAGACCCTCTTATTACAAGTTTACGGTATCTTCAAACCTTTGAAAGTCGTGTTCCTGGAGGCATACAAAATTTGAATCTCTACGAAATATACCGCAAATGACATGCCCGTAATAGCCAATAACAAAACTAGAGAAACAGTTTCAGCAATTAGAAACCACTCTGGAAAAGTCTCATAGACCACGTTGTTCATGTCTGAAATTGTTTTCTTGAAGTTTTGAAATGGTAATGAAAAATCACAAAACTAATAAGTTTCAAACTTCTGCTTGAAAGAATAAAAGTGTCCGAAATAGAAGATTTGAGAAGCATTTCGTTCTGATCTTCGTACACAGTGTGTTTGGTTTAGAAAACTTTTCAAAGTGAAACAGAAAAATTATAGAAGCATGACGAATGTGCAGTGGTGAGAAAACTGAAAAAAATTGATGTGAGTAAGTGAAGCACGTGCCAGAGGTCCCATGTGCTGCAATGGAAAACATGAAGAAAAGGTGAAGTCATTGCAAAACACAAAATCAAAAAGATCACATTTATTCACAATAAAAATTTGAGATCATTTATTAGCATCACGACTGCCTTGAACAGAAATTGACATGGATCGAGTCGAACGGCGAGATGTCAGGCTTCTGAAAATATCAAAAGACGTTCAAGCCTCATCTGCTAGACTTACAAAAATCTCTGATGAAACTGGGCATTGATTGGTTTCGAAACGAAAAGAAGCATCCAGGCGGAAAATGTGGAATAGATCACACAGAGGATATTGTAGAGAAAGTAGAAAACTCTCTTGTTCATTGATTGATTGATTTGGAGAGAGTAGACTATGAACGCAAAATAGATTATCTCTACGAGGCATACGATGAATGTCATTTTGTCCAGACCGTTTTCCCTTTTTTGCTTCTCCTGGCTCCCTTGGTATTTACTAGGCGAGATGGTGTTTATATTTTTCTTCTAAAAAATAAACTTCATTCACAGTACTAGTTATAGATATGACGTATTTTTAGTTGGTTTCCGCCCATTTTGATCATTTTCAAGAGTATGGATCTCGGCTCCAAGTTCTCGATCACTTTGAAGATTTTGGAGGGTGTAAAACAGACCTAGATTGAAAGCTGTGCATTCACAGACTTTTTTGAGCATCCCTAGTTTTTCAGCTATTTTCCGATTTCCGAAGGACACCCCTCTTTTTTCCCGTTTTCAGTACAAAATAGGAAAAGAGGGGTGCCCTCCAAAAAACGGCAAATAGCTGGAAACTAAAAATTTTCGAAAAATTCTGTTAATGCAACGCTTTCAATCTAGGTCTGTTTAGCACTTTCCAAAACTTCCAAAGTGATTGAACACTTGAAAGCCAAGCTTCAGATTTCTGAAAATGGTCAAAAAGGCAACAAATCATTGACCGGTATTGTATATGGGTCATCTGAACTATAATTACCTTACTGAACTTTACTTTGAACATTGTGTATGTCACCATGTTGTTTGCCACGATTGCTAGCACGAAGAATACTTCCATAATGGTCACAAAGTTGTAGAACCATTCCGCATCCGCGTCATCGGATCCCACAGCGTATAGCCTGAAAACATTAATTTCTTGGATGACATGAATCTACAGTTTTACCCATTATCCTCCATTATATACTCATAAGTATCCGGTCCCAAAAGTGCCAATGCTACAAAAACACCAGACACTTGTAAAAATTGCACGGTGTAAATGTAGTTTGGCTGGCCCAGCTGAAACTTCTAGTTGTTACTGTTTACTTGGTGGGGTACTGGTTTACGAACCTTATGATAAAAGATCGGGAAACAAACTGCACAAACTCTACAGAACGACAAAATAGTCGCAGTGGCTCCTTGGATACAACGAGCTCCGTAGGTTACTGTAATAAATGTTGCGCCGAGCAAACTTTGATGGCGAAGGAGGAATGGTTCAAACCATCTGAAATTACAGAGGAATGGAAAAGAAAAGGAAAATTGGAATTACCTTTTAGCTGGGATCACTTGCCCGGTGAACATGTTTATAGCGGAAATCATGTCGACAATTATTCCAACGAACATCAAACGGTAGAAAGGTCCTGAAAATATCACATCGTATTTGAGCTTGAACAACATTGTAGACATTCATCTTTCATTGGACACCTACCTATCTTACCTCTAAAAGTGGTTTTCCGGTAAGAAAATATGATTTGAATTTCTATGAAATAGAGGAAAAACGAGACAGTTGTAAATAGTAGCAGAGCCGTTAAAACTAGAGACTCCAGAATTACGAACCAGAAGGAGAACTCGTACATTTCGTGGTACATTTTCTTTTGAACCTTATAGTGAGCTCGTATTCAGTTCAAATAAGATGTACTTGCCTTCCTACACGTTACGAACGAAAAAAGCTAATGGATAACTCGAGCGGAAAGTCAGTTGATACGATGGAAAAAGCAACTCGTGCTTTATGGGAAGATTAAGAAAACAATGACGAAAAATGTTTGTAGTTTAATTTTTAAAAACCAAGATAAATCTCGGAAGTTATAGATAATTGAAGTTAGTTTAATACCAATTAATGAGTGGGAATAAAATAAAAACGCATCATAAATAGTTCGAAAAATTATTTTGCAGAAACATTGGGAAATCTAGGATGACCTTTCTGTATTCCGCGGTGTTCAATCAATCTGAAAAATTTGGATAGTTAATCCTTTAAGCGAGATGACTAAATTTCCGCAATTCTAGGCCAAAATGTAAAAAAAGAAAAATATGATGACTCCCGATTGCCAAACTTCATTATTTTTTAAATCAACTCATGAGCTGGATAATTGTCGACAGGCCAATTTCGGAGGGCAGAAACTATTGGCCCGGCTAACGCCCGGTTACTGATTTAGATGCTGATCGATTCTTATTGAAGATTGTTGAGCTCGTCAATGCCATCAATTATTTTGTTTTTCCCACAATTTCAAGTTGAAGCAAGTTATTCCCCCGTTCCGGTCCCGGGATCCCGCTTGTCGACTAGTATGCTGAACTGTTAAAGGGCTAATCAAGTCCAAAAAGTCTGCTTGTAACAGTTACAGAAATTGTGGTCTACAAAAAAGAAAGATTTTCTCTGAAAGGCTCACTAGGGGATGGTGCAAATGGGTCATGAAGTTATGGCACATGACCTATATCATTGAAAAGATGATAAAAAGTTATTTACAAATGTGTAATCAAAATCTGCTAAGCGGAAGAAAGCTCGGAGAATATTAGGTCTTAAGGTCTGCGTTCACTACTGTTCTCCTCAATTTCAATACAATTTTTGGATTTTTTCGTTTAGTTTCTAAGCGATATAAAACTTCTATTGAATGAGGAAAAAAGTAGTGAATCGAGAGCTTAATTGTAAGGCCTACCTGTTCCGAGCTGTCTACCGCTGAGCTGATTCTGATTGCATATTCGTCAATAACTTTTCCTCAGCTTTCCAATGATATAGGTCATGTGCCGTAACTTCATGACCTATTTTCACCATTCCCTAATCAGATGATAAACTCCGAAGTTTCTAAGAATCCCACCATATGGCATCTGAAACGTAGGCGGACATCAGGAGAGACAGCACTACGAAAACTCCAAAACGTTTATCATAAAGATTATATGTCATTGTTACTTGTGGTATATTGTGTTCTCTATTATTCACTCTTAATCACGTGTTAAGCTTGCCTAGTTCAAAACTCACCTGCATCTTATCGATAGGATAACCGGTAAATTGCTTCTGACAACCTTATTATTCAAAAAACGAGGTCTATATTTTTTATTTGGTCTAGATTCCATAAAGTTCAGGAAATCAAAACCCAACTTCCTGATGCGGGCTATCCCTCCAAAGTGTGGCAACTCTAGCTATGTTGATCATAACTTTTCAAATATTTTTATTCATTTCACAATTGTCTTTGAGATTCCGGTCTCGGTATTCGCAGTATACTGTATTCTGATGGTCACACCATCGAGAGCAATCGAGATGAAAATTTTCTATGCTCTTATTCTGATTGTGAGTCAAAGTCATTGTTTTTAGTGATACGTTTTATTTTTTCAGGCGCTGGTTCCAAATGTTTTCTTAATTTTCCCGATAACGGGAATGTTAATAGGAGCTGAGAATTCAATGTCATACAATCCAGGTGATTCGGAATTCATTACCTGAAAACAATAACAAGTTTTCCAGCTCTCGGGGAATATATGGTGTCTTCTCTGTCGATTCATGGAGTTCTGTCTACGTTAACATTGATTTTGAGTCATAAACCGTACCGACTGGAGGCAGATCGACTGAGAAGGAAACTGTTTTGCAGTGAGTTGAGATCACAGAAGTAAATTCTTGCAAGTTTCCCCGCCGAACAAGACTATTCCATTTTCTGTACCAGAGATGTCCGGAAAGGAATTCTGAATTCCGAAAATTTTGAAAATTCCTAGCATTGTGGAGTAAAGTTCCGGCCGGAACAACTGTTTGTGGTGGGATAGTGGGAAAAGGATACATCTGGTTCTCGAAAAGGGTATATCTAGTTTTTAGGGTACATTGGTTCCAAGGGTATGGTGCATGTGATAGGACGAAAAAATTTTTACAGTCTATTTTGAGTTTTTCTCAAAATTACAGGGTGGCTGAAAAGTATTGAGACACTTGTTTTTTGTTGTATTTTCAAAAATGGAGTTTCAACAAAAGAACCAGATTTATTTTTTCAACAAATGATAGTAATAGAAAAGATATCAGAGGAGATATTCGAAGTTTGAGCCTTCGGCCTTGATGCACGCCTTCAAACGAGCTGGAACAGAAGCGACGGTGCGCCGGAGGTAGTCATCGTCAAGATCATCCCATGCTTTGAGCAAAGTGAATCCACATTTGGGTGCGATCGAGCCATCACCTTTTCCTCCAAATATCCCCAAACGGAAAAGTCGAGTGGATTCAGATCGGGCGAGGAAGCGGGCCACATGTCCTTGCCCCAGTAGCCAGGGAAATGAGCGTCGAGAACAGCTTTCGTGGATTTCGAGCCATGGGACGGGGCCCAATCTTGTTGAAGAATGAAGGGTTGCTGGCCAAAGTGGCTAGTGACCCACGGACGTAAAACATCCATCAACACCAACTTTTGGTACACATCCGAGTTGATTTTCACATTTCTATCAATGAAAACCAATGGGACTTTACCTTCCGACGTCAATCCAGCCCACACCATCACTGACTTTGGAAAAAGTCTCTTGTAGGCCAGACGACGTTTTGGGGACTTTGCTTCGTCCTTTGACAACAATTGCCGAGCATTCTGTCGGTTCGGAAGCGGCTCAACCGTAAAAATTTTCTCATCAGTCCAAATGACTTCAGAGAGGCGGCGCACCTTGAGTGCGTCGAGCAACTTTTTCGCTTTTTCGAGCCGATTCTTCTTGGACTGTTCTGTGAGGTATTGGCCACGAAGGAGCCGATAACTGTTCAGACCCAAGTCCTTTTTCAAAATGGATTGAACCGATTGTCTTGAGATTCCGAGCGATGAAGCCATTTGGTTCATGCTGACCGCATCATTTCGTGTGATTCTCTTCTTGATGATGCCACGAGTCCGGCGAGTGTTGACAGTACGAGGTCTTCCGCTTTTCTTAAGCTCCAACACATGTCCTCGATCTTTCAATTGTTGCACAACTCGATAGACAGTTGCTCTCGGAAGAAGAAGTCTTCGAGCGATGTCACCGGTGGAGATGCCGTCGTTGAACAGCTTGGCAATGGTTTGGCGATGAGGAGAAGCTCGCATAACTTCGTGAAGAGATAAAGTGATGGGAAATGGCTCTAATGTCGGCTTATATACGCTCCCTATTTTCGAAATAATACGAAACTTTTCGAAAATACGACTTGGCACGGTGCCAAGAGCCATCATAACAAGTGTCTCAATACTTTTCAGCCACCCTGTATAGGCGTACAAATAGGCTATAACACCATACACTCCATGACCTTAAGAACTGGATATACCCTCGATGTATCCTTTTTCAATGTACCCTTGGATCCTGTGCCAAAATTTCAAAATTCCGAAATTTTGAAGCTTGGAGTTTTCCAAACTCCCGAATATTTCGGAAAATGCCATTCCGAACATCCCTTTTGAAATCCTCTGAATCAACTTCCATGTTATTCAAATTCTCTCTGGTCCTATTTCATTTTTACTCATAGCAAAATTTTGTAGTTTCAGAGAGGTTCAATTACGTCTAGACTTATACAAAACCAGTTTTCCCCGTCATCCTTTCTAGTTATCAGACCCAGTTCTTTAGTTGCTACAATTTTTTTTGAATTTTTTAGATGTTCTCAGAATTCTTGAAAGTTAAATTACATCGAACCAACACATCATCATCTTATTTTTCAGGCAAATCTGGCTCGAGGAATAGTACGGTTAAAGTGGAATGCAGCACGAAGTCTGTTAAATACTAATTGTGAATTGTTATTGATCTCATCACCTTGCTTTGTTTTTCCCATGTGCCTTGTAGTTTTTCAGCCTTCATCGGTAAATGAAAAAGTCATTAAAAAATTGATATATAAAAGAATGAAAACAACTCATTGCTTCATTCCCTCAATGGTTTCACTTCCGGATTCTTGCCAAAATTCTTCCGAAGTAAATCACACAGCTTCGTCAGTTTTCCTACATGTGATTGTGGCAATCGAAATTCCACTCTCATTATTTGCAATATATTGCATTTGCAAATTGACTCCAAAACATTTGATCATCTCAAAATGTCTTCTTTTGGCTCATCAGTTCTGGGTAACTTTTTATAGTGCGACTATGTGTGTCGGTCTGGTTCCCGTCGTATTTTTTCCATACATCGCATATTATTCCCGAGGTCTTTTTGATTATTTACAACTAGATACAACTGTTGTGGTATATTCTATGGGTACTGGATTTGCAGGTAATGGAGGAGCCGGAGTTTTTCTGAGATTTTTGAAGTTAGAGTATGCGTTCAATCATTTGCTGTTTTGGTTCGGTGTAATTGAACTTTCAAGAATTCTGAGAACATCCAAAAATTTCAGAAATATTGTAGCAACCAAAGAACTGGGTCTGATAACTAGAAAGGGTGACGGGTAAGACGGGTTCTGTGTAAGTCCAAACGGAATTTTACCCTCTGTGAAACTATGTATAAATGTTTTCTATGGCTGGAAATGAAATAGGGCTAGAACGAAATCAAACAACAAGGAAGTTAGTGAAGGCTGTTGGAAACAACGAGAAACTTTTAGGGCCGCTAGTCTGCCGAATCCTACCCATGCCAAAAATACCCTAACCAAAAAGCGCGGCCCTGTTTTCGACAACCTTGAAGTTGATTGAGGGGAGGACAGGAGATTATCGGAGTTTTTTTTGGAGTTACGGTATGAATTCTGACGTGACGGTGTACAATACTAGTCTACAGATGTGGTGTCCGCCTTCGCACGCTCTTGCCCGCGTGGCACAGTCGGTAGTGGCGCGGAACCTTCAATACTCGTCCCATAAGTTGAACTCCTCGCGAGGCTTATATGAATAAAGTTTCGAAACAGTTATTTTTTAACAATTTTCAGGAGTGTTCCTCTCAATGATCACTCTGTTTGCCTATCGCCACCAAAGCATTCTTCCTCAATCTCATTTTCTAAAAATCAAAACTACAAATTTCGCAACACTTGTAATCTTAATACACTTCATGACTTTTTTGTTTACCATCCCATTTCTCGCCACTTTCCCTGACCAGGAAGTTTCCCTGAATGCTCTTCAAAGAGTGTACAGTAATCCACCATGTGATCTCTGGCATTCGCGAATAGTTATTTTTTGGTTCGGGATGATTAAGCAGATCATTGGATATGTAGTCTTTCTCACTCTTTGTAGTAATCTTATAGTTGGTATTGTATTCCACAGTTTTCGTATCATGAAAGCCTACAAAACCCTAACTTCCAAGAACACAAGGAAACGGCAGATGGGGTTCTTATATGCATTGATACTGACGGTGATTTCTGAAATAAGAAGATCTTTGTTTTAGAAAAAAGTTTTCAGGCGACTATACCGAATGTGTTTTTGTTCGCACCGACTATGGTTTTCATATTATGTAGCATTCACTCTCATTCTTACAATGCAGGTGAATCTGGATAATTGATTCAGAAAAGTTCAAAAGATCTTTCAGTTCCTGGAGACATAATAGTGTGTATTGTTGGTCTTCATGGGCTTCTGTCTACAGTAACCTTCATTCTGAGCTATAAGCCTTTTCGAATGGAGCTGGTTCATTGTATGAGACGGTGTTTTTTTTGGAGTAAGCGACTTTTGATAACTTTCGATAATAAATCACTCTAACTTCCAGAATCGCAGACAAAGCAAAAGATCATACGCTGTGAGCAGATGACAAAAAGTGTCAGATACTGAAAAACCATGGATCTCACTGGCTAGGCAGTCATGTTCAAAAATTATGTGAAATTCTTTATTTGAAAAATAAATGATTAATATTTTATGACTTTGATCAACAAATAGCGGTTCCAGTATTTGTGAAATGAGACACCTGTCCTCCAGAGTCAAATCTAGCTGCTTTTGTAGAACTTTCGATGGGGCGTGTTGGAAGGAACATACTTCTTCTGATAACTCTCATAAAGAATTGACGGTATGGTCTGACAAAGCACAAGTAGGTGAAAGGAGATAGGGTAGGCATAAGAATGAAGGAGGAGAAAATTGCGTATTCCAGAATTGGAGAGACAACAAGTCCGGTTTGTGCTGAAAATCGTACATTTGATTTTTTTTGTTCAGAACGACGGTTTGTATAACTTACAAAGAATATAACAAATCACAGAAACACCTAGAAACGCTGGGACCAGTGCTTGAAAAGTGAGAGCTTTCAAAAGCTGAGCATGCGCTGCTCTGGTGTCTGAAGACATCATTTGGGTATTCTCTTCCAAGTGTTTAATAATTTTCCGGCGGAATATGAATATAGATGTGTAGACAGGAAAAATTGGGAGGCAGATGTGACTGATGCCATAGGCAGCAACCCAGTTGGTGGTGTCAACGATTCCAGTGATAACACCAGTTTCTAACTGATAATCGGGGAACCATTTTTTGGCAAGTGGAAGGATCTGTTCTTTCGTTGCCAGTGTGCTCCAATAAGTTGCCCCTTGAAACAATGAAGGAATATAAATGAGCAATAGAATCTTAAATAGGGTCATTCGGGATAGTGCTGAATGGTGAAGGATGTAGTATCGATATCCAAATGAGAGAAGGAGAGACCATACTGCATGGGGGAGGCAATGGAGGAGAAGACTGATTCCAAGTTTACAACTAAATGGGTTGATGTATTGACATGGACCATTGGCAATATAAGTTAAGGAGATGTCTCCTGGCGTTGGAATAAGTCTGGAAAAATGAATTAGTGGAACTTGAAACTTTAATTTACCTCAACTGCGTAAACCAGTCTAAAAAACACTCCAGGAAATCGGTGATAGCAAAATTGATAATCAATGTTGCATAGGATCGGATCGCTTTTGGTGTTTTGAATACAGCAACGTAGACTAGCAATAGATTAAACGAGCATCCAAAAAGTGCCCATAACCAGTGCCATATTTCAAAAAAGATATTCATACCTTGCTGTTTTTTACTAGATTTTTTCAGATGAGGGCTGAAAAATAAGGTGATTAAAAGGCATTAAACGAGTGGAGTATTCAAATTATATAGTGAAGCTGAATTGTATTCTACTTGGAAAAATCAGCTGTTCATTGGTGCCAGACTAGAGAGATAAGGAAAACAGAAGTAAATTGCGGTAATGACGTCCGGGCGGTAATGACGTCCGAATCGTCTGGCGAATGTTGTTCCTGGAGTTTATATGAGAATGGAGTGTAGATGGGATTACTGTAGCTAAGCAACAAAACATTCCTTTTCCCAAAAAAATGTTCTAATCCATTGTCGTCATTGTGCTTTTTAGGGAGCCTAATCTCTAAGGTAAGCTTGTTTAAGATTACTCTGAAAACAATGAATTTATGAATAATGGCAGCATCTAGAACAAACTATAGTGGAGTCTCTTAGGACAGGAAATATTCCAATTATTTAATGAAAAAAAAATAACTGGGATATATTAGGTCGTTCGGAAAGTCCTTTTCGTTTTTGATCTGTTGTTTTTAAACTTTGTTTTTTTGAACGGGGTAAAAGCGAGGAAGTTGTCGTTTTATCAGTATATTGGTGGGGTCCAATAGTGTCTGCACCCCAACGGAGATCATTCCCCCCCCCCCTTTTCGTGTAATGAGATATGCTCACCGTTTCCGGCTCTATTAATTTCCATTTTTGGACTATCATTTTAATTGTATTTATATCTGATCTTAAAATTAGCTGAAGTCGATCGCCAACTAGTAGCGGTTAACAACGCAAATGCACCCATTCGAACTACCATCACAACCTGGATTCAGTAATTTGAAAAACGGGAATTCTTGTTTGACGAAAATCCTCCTTCAAAAAGGCAAATGGGCTTAGGTTTGGATGCATTAAAAGCCGGGAAAGAAAGGGACCCGCCTCAAACTGTGTGTGATATATGAAGTACATCAGTGGCAAGCCTTTTGTTAAAAAACCGTAGATTGAAAACTCTCGGCACAGTCAAAAAGTGGGAAGAAATTGACCCCATCTTTTGGCTCAACGCAACTTTTTTCCCCGGGTGGGCACCTGTTTGAATCTTCTCATCCTGCGTTTCACACATGAATGTTGGAATCAAACCATTGCTAGTGGTGATAAATGGGTAATGTGTGATTACAATAACCGACAAGCCAAATGGGTTGACAAAGGCGCTCAACCATCAGACGTCTCGAAACGTGAAATTCGTGTTAAAAATGGGATGTTGTCGGTATGGTGGTCTACCAAAGAATGGAGTATTAGGAGCTGCCTGATAATAGTGTCACTTTCACGACCCATACCTATTCTTGTCAGGTGACATAACTCAGACTTTATGTGGATCTCCATTGGAGAGGAACGCAAAGGTTTATTTTGAAAATTAAAATTAGCAACCTCATGCGGGAAAGAAGACCCAGGCCGATCTCGGTGGATATGTCTAGACGATTCTGCCTTATTCACTGTATAGCTCTAACCTTCTACTTTCTGATTATTACCCATCCAGCCACTTCTAACGTCATCTTGATTGACGAAAATTTACTTCAAAACTACGTATCAAAAATGGGTTGACTTGATTTTGAACTCGCTGTGACCGGAGTTCTGGAAGGAAGGCATCTACAATTTAGTGGGGCATTGGCAGATAGTCATTGATAACGATGGTCATTACCTCCAATTTATCCGACATCGTTTTGACCTATTTTACTTTGAATGTATCTGACGCTAAAAATGGAAAGGACTTTCCGAACAACCTAATATATAAAAATATGCATCACTCGCTGAAAACAAATCATGTGCATATTGGCGGCTGCTAATAAAGCACTCCACATAATGATAGTCTCAAAAATCGAAAGTTTCGAAAACTTCAAAAATGGAGTGATTACTAAAAGTGTACAAAAATAAAGCCACGTTTTCACTTTTTGAGAAAACTGGAAAAAACCGAATTTCGACAAAAACACGTCCCACAAAACATAACATATCAAGATGTGATTCACTAAAAAAGTATTTTTGATATTATGATAAACAGCTCATCAGCTAATCACTTTTTCATATCTTTCATAGGAATCGAGATACATATGAGGGCTCAAAGTTAGAGTGTTTACGGTAGACTTCGATACATCGCAACAATACATCTGAAAAGATACGCGCTCCAGGCACGCCATCACCTATAAAAATAATCTCGCGTGAAATTCTGAAATCCATTTTTTTGTGTCATCAACGTCACCACAGCCGGCTCCACAGTACTTCTTACAATACACCTCGGACCTTCAGGTTGCATGAAATAGAGTGTTCTATTCGAAACGATGGAAGAGACAGATTGTCCAACATGCAGTGAGTTTCAATTCTCGCCTTATCTAGCTCATCAGCTTTTTTCTTCTCCCAGAATATCCAAGCGTCAAATTCCGAGACCGCGTTAGTGAAGTATGTCAATTTATCGTCCCCCGTCAAACCAACACAATGATCGTCCCGAATTACGGACAGATTCCTGTCGTCAAAGGAGATCTCTCATGGCTGTCTCCAGAAGTTTCGATTTTTCTGAATGAATGCGTCCAACTTATGACGCCTTCTGCAATTCGAATTTGTAACGGATCGGTGTTTGAAGCACAGGAACTTCGTGACGCGATTGCCAATGAATTCGGAGGTGAGGAGCAGAAAATGTTGAATCGTTTGCATCTAAATATCACTGATATTGGATTCGATGATATCAATGTTTATACGAAGGATCGTGTCGATGCGGAACCTGGGAAACCAGCACCCCAAGGATCAACCAATTCTGGATCTAGTGATAACATTGAGAATGTTCGATTGAGTTCTCATTATATGTCCGCAAGCCACTTTGAATTTTCGAAGGAAAAACAATTCAACGGATGTATGAATGGGAGAACGATGTATTTGGTACCATTCTCAATGGGACCGATTGGTAGTCGTCATGCAGTTGTGGGGATTCAAATCACTGATGATCCGGTTCTGGTACTGAATTTGAGATCTACATTCAGGTACCCCACAAAAAATTGATCTTTATTTATTTTCAAAAAAACCCTAGAGTTCTCTCGAGCGTCTGGGATCACCTGGCTGCTACGACTCATTTCATTCGAAGTGTCCACTCGATCGGAATGCCACGTCCCATCATCCGTTGTATCGTGACACCAACGCCGTTTGAAACTCCTGTCGGAAGTTTCATCGTCCTCAAACACGATGAACAACAAGTGTGGGCACATGGATACACATTCGGAAGAACTCCAAGGTTCGGAAAAACGTTCTCAATTCATGCTGCTTCATGGATCGGAACGAAGAAGGGGTGGCTGGCAGAGAATGCGGCGATATTGGCTATCACTAGTGAGTAGTCATGGTCGTATCGATATCGGTTTAACTTGATGATGGCCTTACTGGCGCGAGTTGCGTTTTCTAGGCCATCAACCTTTTTGGCGAAAAAACAAAACAAACTAACATTCACCTGGTGGGTTTTCAACCATAGTGGACTAAAAACCTCAAATTGCAAAAGTTAGGGCACCATGAAAAATGGTATAGAAAACACACCAGGTAAATAACAAACCGTTTGTATACCGAAAAAAAGTTAGTGGCCTAGAAACCTCAACTTCCAAAAGTTAGGCCATCACGTTAAACTGGCCTAGAAAACACTCGGTGAATATCAAATCATTGTGTGCCGAAAAAGTTGATGGCCTAGAAAACTCAACTTCCAAAAGTTAGGCCATCATAAAGGTAGACTTTCAGATCCCAAAAACGAAACAATACACGTGTGCTACAGTAGTCTGGCAAGTGTGGAGAGTCTACAACTTCAGCCTGGACCTGGATGGAAGGTGAGTTTCGGGAAGAAAAAGTTATTTTGGTACAAAAATTTGGAAGAGTTTCCCAACAGCAACTACCGTAACTTAAAAATTTCATTTTCCGGACTTATCATCTACGGAAAATAAAAAATTGATATTTAAATATGGACTGAAAACGAACGAAAATGGAGAAAATACGAATATTATTAGGTTACGGTTGTTGTCGTGGGATCTTTGGACACGGCCACTGGCGTTTCTCTTAAACAGCTTCATCTTTTGGTACACGAATAATACAGTAATCTCTTCCTCGCAGATCGAAGTGATCAGTGAAAAGACAGTTTGGATTCATTGGCACAATGGAAAAATGTACGCTTTGTGTCCGGAAAACGACGAAATGGACGATATGGGATCTCCGAAAAATCTCTCGAATCTCTTCACCGGCGCCACTTCTGAATATCAGATTCAAAGTTTCAATCCTCAAAAAACGAAATGGACATCAGATGTGGGAGTTCCGATTTCCGCCTACATCTTTGCGAATCATCGTCACGATCAATATCCGCTGATTCTGGAAGCCAATTCGTGGGAAGAAGGTGTTTGTTTGGCGGCTGGAATGCGCGTCAGTGTAGCTAAACCCAGAAGTAACTCATCAGAAAGTGAGATTGTTTTCTGAAAGCATCTAACATCTCAAATTCCGAATTCCAGACTCAATCGAATCGTCGCCACGTCATATTCTGGTCGAGTGCCCGATGCTTCGTGTCGATGCGATAAATTTTAGTTTTGCGAAATATGTGAATCACTGGTTTGAGATGGGAATTGGCGTCAAGTCTTCATCATCCGAAAGTTCGGATACTTATGAAGCACCACCTCCACCGCCCATCTTTTTCACTAACTTGCACCAGGAAATCGAAGGGAAACTGATTTGGCCGGGTGGTGTCGATAATGCAAAGATTTTTGAATACATTTTTGCCAGGTTATTCTCCATATATGGACCATATTCACTTGAAATCATAAACTTTTTTTCCAGATGCACAAACCCCTCGGACCTCTCCAACACCACCCCCTCAGGCATCGGAAAAGTTCCGAAATCTCTAGAATTGAGCGCTCTGGTCAATTTGCCGCCGCTTCTACAAGTCAACATTCGATTCTGGCTCACTGAGCTCAACAAACTCCGCATATTTTTCAACCTTCAAATGGAGTGCTGTCTTCCACCACAACTCGAAAAAGTGCTCACTGATTTGGCTGGAAATCTGTAACTGCTCATTTTCAGTTTCTATTGATAAATGACGGATGTTTTTATTTTTGTTTATAATCAATCATGGAAAGACAAACGAGTATCTTGGGAAATCAATAAGCTAGTATAATGACAGTGAATTTTAAAGCAATACAAACCCAAAAGAGTTTTGAAAAGACGATAAAACTAAAGAAAATGGAGCAGATTCTAGTATTTTGAGCTAATAAAAAGAGTAAATACTTCAAGGATAGAACGGGGATTGGGGAAAATATTCTTGGATGGGGATTAATATTGTCGAGTCGAAAAAAAATGGGTCCTGAAAATTTCGCGGGCGAATCAAATTCTGCGAATTTCGAGATTTAGTGAAAAAAAATTCAGATTGATTGGTAGCAAAATGATTGATCTCTAGAATCGGTTTTTCATCGGAAACCCGAGCTTCAAAAGCGGTTCGAACGAGGCGAAAATTCTCAGGTGTCAGTTTTCTTTAAAATATCAGATGAGTATGGCGTGAAATATGGCATGAAGAGATTTCAGCGAAAAATGAAGTAGAACAATTATTCTGTGACGATTTGGTTTTCTCTGGTGTTCATTCGCACTGAAATTTTTTCTATGGGATTTAGTATACCAAAGATAGCCTAAACTCACTTTAGAAACCCTCTCGCGTGTGCTCATTCTCCTTGAAGAAGAAATGGTGGCTACTGGTTCATCTCGACACGATTCTCGTGATTCTACAGATCTCTGGGCGTTTGATGATCGTACAGGACGAGGAGCAGATGTGCTAGCTTGTTGCGAAGAAGACGGTCTGGGAACAGCACGAGAACTTGGTTCACTGAATTGCCGCTTCTTCGAAGTCGTTGCTTCACGGACGGACGGAGCTCTCAGTCTTTTCTTGCTTGGTTTAGAGTTCTGTAATAACTGGCTTATAATCTCAAGGGTCCTGAACGTTTCAGAACTTTCATGCGTTTTTTGCAAAGTGATTTTTGCACACAAAATGAATATTGCTCATTTCGATTTGCTGTTTTTCTGATTTTTCATTCGTTCTCATCTACCGTACTCTAAATAAGAAAACTCTCAAAAAATCGAAAAAAAACATTGAAAGTTACAAAGACGTTGTCTTTTTTAGTGATGACATCGTTTTTGAAATTTTCAATTTTTTTTCGATTTTCCGAGAATTTCCAAGTGTGAGCATTTCATTATTTGGAGTACGGTAGATGAGAACGAAAAAAAAAACATTAAAACAACAAATTGAAATGAGCAGTACTCATTTGTTGTGCAAAAACAACTATGCAAAAATTCATGAAAGTTCTGAACCGTCGGAGCCATCTCGAACTATCATCTTTTTTCGACAAACTTTTGTATTCTTCTTGGCTCTACCCATTCTCTTAGTCTTCTCGTCTTCTTCGTCCTCATCTTCCTCGCCTCTACCCATATATCCCGTGCAATTGGTAGCTCCACAAAGACACGGAATCTCCACGGTACTTTCCATTTGATAACAGAAGGTGATTTCCTCGCCTTTTGCAATTGGCCTTGTCGCCCTCACACAAACACGACGCTCATACTTCCGATTTTCCGCATTTCCGCCTTTGACGATGGCAGTGCTATACGATGCGGAATTGGGATCACACGAGTGATTTATGTATCTAGCCAGATTCCCATATCTGGCTGCATCCACAGCCCATCCTTTTCCGAGATCCATCATGTACTGATTTGCCTGAAGTTTAAAAAATTATGTTAAATTTGAAACATTAAAATGACGTTGAATGTTCAATATTCACCTGGAAATCTCTCGAAATAGCGATGATTTGAAGACGGTATGCTTTTTCTGTAGGGTTTATCAACTCTCCGACATACTCAGCCAGAAATTCCCCCTGCGCAATTTCTTCTTTAGCAAAAATGCCGTAACCCTTGGTCTTTGTATCCCGAAGCAACAGCTTCGGGTTTACATATCCCTTGGATACATTTCTATTATTGCATAAGTCTCCGCAATCTGGTGGACACTCGACACCTTCGTTGACAGAATCGCAAGACTCGTCCAAGCACTTCCGCGCGTTGTTCTCACAGCGACAGTCACCAAAATCTTCCTTAGTTGGCGGTTGAGCTGTAATGTTCCGTCCGAGTCTTGAGGTCTGTAAACTGGTGTTCAAGTCATCAATAAACTTTTATTTGGTTACTAACCTTCCATGGTTGGTAGACTAACTTGCTGACATATGGTCCGAAGAGACATCCCTTATCATTGTAGTCATCGAAAGTTTTCTTCCAAAAGGACCTCAAGTTGGGCTTCGCCAATCTAACGTACTCGTCTATGAGTGGTGCGACATTGTGTACGGGCACAATACTGAACGTCTTCCCCGCAGAGTCTTCGGATAACCACTGAACCACTGTATAGCCGAGTTTTTCGAAATTAGGCTCCGACGACCTTCGATTCGATGGGAAGTTGTACCATCCGACGGTTTTTGCAAGATAGAAACTGTAAGAATCAAGAGATAAAATTATGTGTTTACTGAACTCAACTCACTCTTTGTTTTCCCACAACGCGAGGACTGGAACATTGAGTGGAACATCATCTTTGCAAAGACATTTCTCGCACAGGTCGTTTGAAACGAGTACTCCATCGATTTTGATGACTTCTCGACATTCTACATGGAAGGATCTGACACAGCTTCTACAATTGATCAACTTGAATTCCACACCGAGAGTACATCCTTCAGAACAGCAAGCTTTTAGATTCGGTCTCTTCCCAGAATCCTTCTTGGCCGCCACTTTCTTCTTTTCACTCGAAGCGGATTCTGTAGAATCTTCGTCAGCATGAGCTGGACAAATTAAGAACTCGAAATTCTTCTTCTTGTCGCCCATTTGGAATTCCACATACTGATCTCGAGCACCTGCTGGGTAACAGGTTTGGATATGAAAAGCACGTAGACACTTGGCGCATTCAATAAGCTCTCCGGCATAGGCGGTTTGTCTCTGATGTCCAACATTGCATCTGTTACAACAGTGAAGGGGGCAGAGGAATTTGGCTTGGCATTCAAGTCTTGCAGCGTATTGAAAAAAGTATCCAGCAGCGTTATATTTCTGAAAATCTAACATTCATTATTTGATCTATTGTTGACTGCAGTCTAACCATAATACAGCTCTCGTGAAACTTGCTTCTACAGGGTCTTTCTGGAATCAGAAGCTTCTTTGGTTTGTATGGGGCGTTTGGGTCCTTTTTCAATAATTCCTCATACTCCTTCTTATATTCTTCCTCGTAATTCTTGTTGAGCGTTGTGATTCTCTCCACTCCAGACATTTCTCCACTCATCTGTCCATGACAATCAATCAGCTCGGTCTTTCCTTTTGGACATTCTTCTTGATGGCAGATCACACACATCGAGTCGGCTTCCGGAAGAAACTCGCCAGTAGACTGCTCCCCGTTGCCATGTTTTTTTCCCGGAACCTCACTGAGCTGGAGGAAGCGCCGATCGATCGGACTTGTAGTTTCTATAAATAATAAGTCATTATAGCAGTTAATTTTTAAATTTTCATCATTGAGACATATTTTTCTATCGTTAAACGCACCTTCCGGATAATTGTTTCCTTCGAAAGGCACATTATCATTATAGTCTTCGACCAGTTTCTTCCTGTCCGCTTTTTTCGTAGCTGGCCTTGTCGTAGAAACGGAATCGTCGCGATTCACTTCTTTCAATGGAACTTTTTCGTGTTTCACATTCTGTTTCTTTTCCGAACAGTCGTTCTCGGCATTTTCTCGACCTGTAAAACGTTTATTGAAATCCGTTCGCGAAATACGACCACTTACTGGATTTGCTTCTTGGGTGCGAGCTTGTCGATGGCGAGTTCATTGTTTATCTGAAATATGCGGTTGATAAAATTTTTTCAAAGAGATATATTTCTAGAAAAGATGAGATGATGAGACTCCACCGATTCCGGGGAAGGGTTGTATTCGAGGAACCGATTCCGAGGAAATCGGGGCGGAGTTTACTTTGCAACTGCCGCACGGTTCAACTGCGGTACTGCA